CTGAGATGGGGTCTTCCTGTCCACCCATCCTGTGTCCAAGGCAGCAGCATCCAGAAGGTGCTGGATGGAGGTGCTCAAATACTTAAAGTAATATTCTATTCTATTTAGAATAGGTGAGAAATTGGGTGTGTGTGTTTACAGGAGACCCCTGCTATGCCAAGCCTGTTCCAACTATGGCCTACCTCTGACCTTTCTCACGTACAACTGTGACCCATCTTGCAGGCACTTAGAATGAATTCTGACACATTTGAGCTCAGTTCCTTGAACACGTGCAGACCTGTTCTCTGAGCCCTAGGGACACAGGCCCTGCATTCATCCATCACACAAGGTTATCTTTTAATTTTACGAGACCCACTGTGGCCCTCTGGGCATGGAACAGGAGCCCGCCCTGGCCGTAGGTGTGGGTAGTGGTGGGAGAAGTTCCTTTGAGGCTAAGATGCTCAAGTTGATATGAAAAACAGACAGAAGTCAACTGACAGAGCTGGAGGTGGGGAGAGCATTCCAATAGAGGTAGGCAAGAGTGTGATCAACCGAGACTAACAGGCCAGAATAAGAAATGCAATGGAGAAAGAAACCAGGGAAGCTGGCAAAGCCAGACCTTGGCCAGGCAGGATTTTGGTTTTGTTATTGAGAAACACACTGGGGGACCATTGGAGGGTTAAGCAGGAGTTGGGTTTGCTCTGAGATTGATTAGTGATGCCTGCATGGGCACAGCCCTGGAGAATGTTGCCCTGTGCTTGCTATTTCTGGTCTAGCCCAATCACACAAAGGCAGCTGGGTTTTCCCTTACAAGGAACCCAGTGGCACTCCTTACCTAGGGGAGGGGCAGGGGGGCTTTCTTCTATGGCTCTGACCTTGCCTTGCCCACCCTGTCTCTGACAGCTGCAAACAATAGTGATGGGCAAGAACCTGGGCATCCCCAAGCCTTTTGGGCCCCGGGTCAAGGGGACCTGCTGCCTGGAAGAGAAGATCCGCCAGCTGCTGGAGCCCTTGGGCTGCCACTGCACCTTCATTGACGACTTTGACTGCTACCTGACTGAGATTGGCGACTTCTGCGCCTGTGCCAACATCCGCCGGGTGCCCTTCGCCTTCAAATGGTGGAGGATGGTGCCTTAGGCCCAGGCCTAGGGCTGCCAGCCCTACCCCAGCATGAAGGGCCCACTGTTACCATTCAACAGCATCCCGGTTCCTTGCCTTGTTGGGGGGCTGGAGAGTCAAGGCCCAACACCCCCCTTCCTTACCTGTTTATGACCTCTACATCGAGGGGTGGAAACGCTGCCATCCTGAAGCCCGTGGAAAGCTGTCTTCAGCTGAGAAGTGGCTTCCATTAAAGCTCAAGCTGTTCTGAATGCATTTTGGCAGCGGTTTCCTTGTTTTGGAGACGGGGTGGGCACATCTAAGGATAAAAAGCTGAGCTGCTGGGACACCTGTGGTCAGGCTGTCCCACTTGTCGGGGGAGGGACCAGGCTAACATTGATTTGCTGTCCCTTCCTCATCCCTAACGTCTTTGTCTGTAGTAGGAAGTGGGTGAACTCAGATTATTCAAATTCTTCTCTAGCTGAAGCATCTCAGACAAGTAGGGTCTGGACTCTGGAACCGAATGTGACAGACTCCAGGCGGGGGGAAGGGAGAGGGCTCCCCCTTAGGCCTGGCAGGAGCACTGGAGGCCAGTCCAAGAGAGTGGTACCGTGCCTTGTGGGCGACTGGCTTTGGCGGGCGGAGGCTCTGCTCTCTGGGGTCTGCAGGTGCAGCCTCCCCACAGGACAAGGCACAGCAGGGGCAGGCCTAGATGGACTCTCGTTAAGTGCCCAGGAGAGGGGAAGTGCCCACTCCAGGACCCAAAGCCACCCACTGCTACTTGTCTGCCCAGCCCTGTGTTAATGGCACAAAGGTGCTATTAAAGCAAATGACTCTGAGGTTGAACCACGGCCGCTCCCACGCTCCCCTCCTCCCACGGATAGGAAGCTCTAAGCAGTCAAGGCTCCTGGAATGGAGGCAACACCTACTGGCAGGGGTAGGTCTGACATAAAGCAGCCAGCATCCCAGAGGGCCCACAAACGGTGACCGGTGTCAGAATGTCTGCGGCTGTGTGGTGGTGGCCTGTGCAGAAGATGGTTCAGTGTGGAGCTCGGCCGAGATGGCGTGGGAGCACAGGCTGTCAACCTGGGCAGAACAGAAAACGCCGGTGGCCTGTGAAACCACGACCGACCTCTTGGTGCCCCCTGGTGGGCAGTCAGCTACATTGCCTGGAGGGGCCAGCGCTGGTCTACAGGGTCCCATCTGTGACCAGGGTGTTAGTGACAGTAGGGCTCCCTTCTGAAGAGCGGGTAGGAGCGGAGGGGGATGAGAATACATATTTCTGGGCACCACTGTTCTGGTGCTTTCCATGCCTGATTGATGTCATCCTCTCAAAGCCCCACTGTGATGAATAAGGAAAAACTCCATTTCTGAGTTGGGCAAGTGAGACGCTGATTCGTCTCCAGGGCCAGACATTTCAAGGGACAGAGCTGGGAGCTCCACTCACCACCCAACCCTGGTATGGTTTAAGCCCAGAAGCTAAAAAGACCCCCCACCTTGCCCCCTGGAGCCCCTGTGCCGGACCTTCTGCTTGGGCCGCAGAGAGGTGAGACCATGGAGCCGCTCCTTGTCCCTGCGTGCTGTTCTCCCGAAAAAGAAGCACGAAAGCCAAGACAGAGTAAACAATGATGTCATTTATTTAAAATGTTTACTCCAAGAAATATATATATAAAAAAAATAAGACAATTACAGCACTACACCAGGCACCTTCGACCAAATCATAACCGCTCCTTGGATTCCCCTTCACTCTAAGCCTCCTTCAAGTTCTCCTTCCTGAGCTGGAAGACTCGTCAGATGCCCAAAGGGTTGGCGCAAAGCACACTCCAGCCCGCGCCACTATCCCTTCTCTTGGAGTGCAGAACCTCACCCCCAATTCCTTGTTCTAAGGGATTTTCCCTATTAGGAAGTTCACCGTAAAACTCTAGGCCAAAAGGAGTGACTGTGGGAGACACGAGGGCAGTCTTCACTCGGAAGGTCCAACCCTTTCCTGCTCCTGTCGCTGACAAGGGTTCTAGAAGAGGCTGGCGGGGGGTTTCAGATGAGTGCACTGAGGCCTGAAGCCCTGCTTGGCTAGGGGCAGCTCCTGCAGAGGCCAGGCCCAAGGCCACTGCTCCCTCACCCCTCTGGGTGGCCACACGACCCAAGACAGGCTATGCGGGTACAGGCACCTGAACCCCATTCCAGGAAAGAGACCCATCCAGGGACACCGATGGGTTCCACACATGGAAGCTTGAGTCCGAGATGGTGGTTTGGGGGTGATCTGGACAAATTAGGTTAGTTTACCAGAAGCTCTGAAGATGCAGAAGCTTCTCCCCTGGACTACTGACTCAACACAGGACAGCAGCAATGAGCAAAAAGTCAGACTAAATCTTAGAAAGATGCGGGCCAATCTCCTTCCTTACTGGAGGCCTGGGGACCGGCCAGGACAGACACTGCTATGTGCCCTGCAAAGGCAGAAGCCACTGGGGGGGGGGGGGGGGGGGGGGCGGACGAGTAGG